TTGGCCAGCCTTCAAGCCTGCTTTTTTTCAAAATTTCTAATTTTTTCTTGAATAATCAAACGAAAACGAGAACCGCTTTGATGACTGATAGTAGGCTGGTAAACACACGTCTCTAGCAAATTTTGGAAAATTTCATTCACAACAGAGTGAGTTATGGCATTTTTTTTAAAGTGGACCTATAATTTTGGCCAGCACTGTATGTTATACTGCCGAAAGGGGGGGGGAGGGGGGGAGGGGAGGGTGCCGCAGACATTCAAACTAGAATTTCCACACATAAAAGAAATTGCAAATCGTGCTGGCTTTTCATGGGAGCTATTAGCGACATGCCGTCCATTCCTCCAAGGGAATGATCCCCAGCGGCCATCCCTGCTATGCACGAGGGGAATGCTGGGGAAGGGATCACTCCTCAGGGGATCACTACTCAGAATTAGGCAAATCTGCTATTTTCCAGATTTTTTTAAGGCAGCTGATGTTAAATTAACAAGGTAAGAGCAATATATCATGTAATACGATAGTTACAATGCATCTGATCAGCCTATCTGGCTAAAACTATTATGTCATTTGAAAAATGCGCAAATTTCTTGAATGATCAAGAACTCCTACAAATATTCGAGAATGGCAGCTATTATTGCTTGGGTTACTTTTCAAGAGGGGAATTTATTAGGTTGGGAACTAAGTTTTGCAACTGGTCTCATAACTTCCCTCTCACTCAACATGGCGCACTCAAATTTTGCCACTGCGTTGGTTATTACGTAAGCTACAAGCGCACCTGCTGTCCTACCAAATTCTGACGTCGCAGTGAGGGTTACGGTAGGTGCATGGTATGAAGGGGAAAAATTCAAAGTTTGAGACGGATTTGGCTGAAACGTGGCATAGGGGTGTTATCCGACATGCTGATCACGAAAACGATAGTGAAATTGCATGATAAGGGCTTTTTTGTAGGATTACTGTAGGTGTACGATATGGGGTCTCACCCTAAACAAGGAAGAAGACGTTGAATCAACAAATGAATGTGATATTCGCGTTTGGCAGGTCAAATAACCTTACTATGTAAAGTCTCGGCGGAATTTGAGCTTCGGACTCTTTAGTCACTGACGGTCGCCCCCCGCAGCTCTTGCGTACATCGACTCGTTCGACTTTATGAGGGCGCCAAATCTGGACATGCCCCTAAATTTTGTTTCTTTCTTACTAGGCCAAAGGATTCATCCTCCAGCAATAATTTATAGACGAATTCGGATTACTGCGCATGGTCTAGGCTGCCAAAGGCTTAATTTTAGTCTGAAACCCCAGAAATTCACAAATATCACTAGTTTTCGAAAAAAGCCTGAAACTTTTCTATTTCGTGTTCAAAATTTAGACGATTTGTGCTCATTTGTAGCTCACATTGCTTTCTACATAATGCCAAAGTTTGAGTGCGCCATATCCAAAGAGAGCGGAGTTATGAAACCAGTTGCAAAACTTAGTTTCCAGTCTAATAGAAAAGAGACAAGATTGCAAGCTACAGGTCGCTGAGAGGGGAATCCGGCTTTTAAAGGAAATCTTTCAAGTTGAACGAATTGCTTGGTAATAGTTGTTAAATCCAGAATATTCGCTTCTCTGGCATGATCTACACCATCGAACCCCTACTCCGTTGCAAGGGATGTCGATCCCCTCCCCCGCGCTGTTGAGCTACATTCGTGCATAGGGAGAGGGAAGGGGAAGGGATTCCCACCAGGGTCCGCCCGATCGATATCCCTGTAATCAAATACCGAATTTGTGGCAGTGAAAGAGTACCGCAAAGAAATGGCTAGCAGGCGTTGGAAAAAACACAGAAACTACAAAACTGCACACTCATGAATTCTTCTATGAGAAAAGCAAGCCATAGCATAACTGCGAGGAAACTGCTAAATAGAATCACACCAGTTCAGAAATCAACATTATAGTACGAAAACACGTAGCAAGTATAAGAAACCCTCAAAACCAGTAATAAGGAAAAGAAGAAGACAGCGTTGGGGGAAGATACAATGGGAAGGGTGAAAGGAGAAAAAAAAGAAGACTGAAAAAAGGAACAAAGGCACTCGAAATCCTATTCTTGTATTTCCCATCCCAAAAGCCATTTAGCACACAAAGAATGGCTGAAAATAGCTTTTTGGCGAGATGTTCAGGTAGCCGTGTGCTAAATGCGACTACCGCAATGACACGGTCCCCGCTGTGGGTGCAGGGGAGGGGATAGCTCCCCTCCCCTCTGGCATATCGGGGTTCAATGAAGGGGATCGCTCCGCTGGGGTTTTAGCTCCCCTCCCCTCCCCTCCCCAGCGGGGATGTACGTGCATACAAGCCTTAGTTGTTTTTGTTCCTTTTAAGCGAAATTTGGGCTTTCTTGCAATTGGGCTTTAGGCTTTGAACATTGACTTTTCTTGCATCGCTCAGAGTGAAGTTCATTAGCAGGGTCAAGCGTGGAGTGTGGCATACCATACCTGATGGGTCGTTTTGAGCGGTCAGGGACGGGGACAGGTGGAGGGGGGGGGGTCGTTGAAGAGGTGATACTGATGTCAGTGTTAACATAATGATCGCTAAGCTATCATTGTCAGAAAGGCTTATCATGCAAAATGCACTCTGATGGTTTCGCCTTCTATAGTATACGTTCAGCAAGCATAACAGAAGAGCCCGAGAAGCATAAGAGCATCATTTTCGTTAATAGCATGTCAATAACTTCTATGGGTCAAGTTTCAGCGAATTCTGAGGTTCCCGAATATTGGGTAACCCAAAGAGATGGCTTCGAACATATTAAACTTTGTGCCAATGGTGAACTAATTGCTTCTTTTTGCACTTAATAAACGAAGTATTTCTTAGTTTATATTAAGAATTCCACCTCAAATAACCATTGATCTGCGGAATCAAGAGCAAGTCAAAATCTCGTGTGCCATTTTTCGCTTTTAATAAAGAAAACAAATTAAGCTTGAATCTTTTGTGAAAGTCACGAGGTTAAGCTATCAAATATATTTAATTTCGCTTTCCCTCGCGATCCACGTAGTAGAGCAGACTTAGCATGTCACCGTAACCCAATATTTCCGCAGTATTTTCCATTTGCACGAGTGTCAAAAACGACCATATTTTCCCTGGAAGAAACGATCTTAAATGAAGTTTTCGCTGTGTAGAGAAGAAGGTTTAGCAGTGGCAACGATATGAAAAACACAGATATTTGAATACTTTGAAGCAGTGGCGTACCGAGGGGGGGGCGGGGGGGGGGGCGCCCCCCCCGAGAATGGGTCGCGAAATTTTTGAAAGTTACTTATATGGGTTATAAAAATGTGCAAGTGACTTGTTTATTTTTGTAAATAATTAAAATAATTTTTAAAAATTTTTAAAAATTCAAATTAGCTTTGTAAAAAATTTTTTTTCGGGGGCGTGGCTGACGCCACGCCCCCTTTTTCCAGATTTTAGGGGTCGGAGACCCGCAAAAGTTTTGAGAACCACCCCAAAAAATTTTTCGGAGTGCGTGGCTAACGCCACGCACCTTCTTTAGAAAAAAATTTTTGTCGCCCCCCCCCCCTCCGAGCCGAAATCCTGGGTACGCCACTGCTTTGAAGGTATAGGGCCTGCAGGATCGCGAGAGTTGGACAGTACGGCTATTGCGCCGCGCACGTCAGATATGCGTCCGACGTCTTCTTCTCAGGTAAGTGCCAGACTTATCTTGTTGAAAAATTCATTCAGTTCATCACCTTTGCTGTTGGACAGTGTAGTGATTTGACCTATAAGCGAACGAACCGGCTGAAGCGGATAAGTCTGGCACCTGCCTTAGTGACATCGGACGTGCGCGGCGCAATGGCCGTACGCACGTCCGACTCTCGCCATCCTGCAAGCCCCTATAAGTTGAACCCTCAAAAAGGTGTGGCAGTCCCGTAGCAATAGTCGGCTAAGTTGTCCCGTAAGTTACGGACGAGCAACTTACGGAAAATTTGTCTGAATCTCCTAATTTGCACACTCTTTCACTCGGGTAATCCCAAAAATCATTTTGTTGAACTGACCGTGATACTTGACCGGTCAGTCTTCTGACTGTTCAACTGACTATCTCAAAGCATGGGAAGATGGACGGATAGGTTCACCTTAGGAAGTCCTTTTGAATGATTCATCTCAGGTCAACTAAGATGAATGGGGTTTACTGCGAGCCATAGTTAGTTTGGAAATAACCACTTCATTGGGAGACTTAATATCGGGAATCCTCTCAATTTGCTAAAACTTGGCCTAGGGGGTTACTTACATGAATTACGAAAATGTCTCTAATTATGTTTGGTAGAGCCTTTGTGTCATCCCTACGATTGTCATAAAGCGAGGCGGACAGAACCCGGCATAAGTTCGTTTCTAGGCCTTTTTAAAACGGAGTACCCCCTGACTTTTGCAAGATTTTATGGAATCTCCTTTGACGCTCTAAACGTGAAAACACTCAAAAGCGAAACTAAAGTCGGCTAAAAAACGTCAATTTTTGGCCACAAAAACTATATCCCTTTTGCTTTCTTGCCCCAAAAACAAAGTATAGCCTGCTTCCATACGATGTGCGCCGGGCTCTGCTTAGGGAGGGAAGGGGTGGGGGTCGTCTCCGGCGGTTTTGTGCCACACCTCTTGCTCGACCCTGGTCATTAGTGAACATTGGCCACAAAGTATCGAAGTTGAATGAATCAGATCGATGTCAGTGTGGAGCTTTACAGACACTTGATGGTGTTCAATTCGTTTAAACTCTTTCACGCATATTCAATACATTTCCTTATAAACTTACCACTCCCTCCGAGAACACTTGCTCATAATACTTGTTTTGAGATGATGAACGAAAACGATGAAAGTTACGATATGGCAGGAAAGCTATGCACCAAATCTAATTTGACCAATACTTATTCGAGAAAGCCTTTACAGCAAAATAAGGGAATCATTAATGACAATTTTTCATAATCTCTCAAACTCCTTCCTAGAAAAATATTTTTTATTGTAAATTAACTCATATAATTTATGATTTTTCTACATGTCTAGTTTTGTTATGATGTCTTCTGCGATGAAAATCCTACTTAGTGGCTGGGGCAGGTAGACGAAAGTTGTCGTATATTTTCTGAAGTTCAGCTTGATCTTCTCCTATCTGAATCAGTTATGAAGTTGAAAATAACTAACAAGGAGAGCCCTTTTAGTCGAAGCAACCTTTAGAAACCTATATCACTTTGCAGAGCATAGAAAATTCCAAATTTTTTCTTGCCAAGCGTCCGCGGAGGCCACGTCATAAGCGTTTCTGATCGAAATATTGGACGCACAAGTGAGACAAGATCGTTTAAAGCTCAGACGGTCAGGTGTGTTTATCAGTGCACTTCATCTGATGGATTCTTTTGTCTAAAACTCTCATACTCAACACTGCTCTATTTGAGCGCATAAAAGATTGTTATTTCTTTCACCGATTCTGCATTCATTTCTCACTCTAAGAAACAATCACAACTCGACATTCAAGGCGCTTGGCAGAGAAGATCTAATAAAGGCAGATGTGGATTCAGCTCCTAATGGTCTTCAAAGTGACATGGGACTCATTTGGAAAGGCCATTTCGATCGATAAGGTTTCTCATGTGAAATTGTTTCATTTCGTAATCTACGCACTACCTTTCTATTGAGTGCGTCACATTCTCTTTCAATGTCCGCTAGTCTTGTCGTAAGGTCAGCGGATGTTTTTTTTCTGCGAAAAATGTTGCTTGTCATTGGAATATTCATACATTGCAACATTGCCCTGACCCACCTTTGCTCCAGCTGAGCTTTTATTATGCTTTTTATCTTCATTGTTTGATCCACATTATTTTTAAGGATTTCTTCGTCTCCTTTTAGCATCTCCAACAATGCTAAGATTAAAAAAAGTTAATTTCGTAAACCCGTAACACATTTGAACGACAGATTTAAAACGACTCTGATTTTGATATGATACAGCCTACAGCCTACAAATTAACAGTTTCAACAATTTTTTACTCGAAGTGACCTTTCAGATAAAATATATGTAGGTGAAATCAGCGTCACTTGCTAGTTTCAAAAATATTCCTAATCTGTGGCGTCTTTTTTTATTAAAGGAGAATGTGTGGAAAAATGCAAATGTTGCTTATGGAAGGAAACATGCGACCTTTTATGCAATGAACGATGTACCACCCCAACACAACCAGGGTATTAACAATGACCGAAATTTTTTTCAAACCTTCCGCAAGATAGTACTTACTGATTTTGCAAAATCTTTTCAACTCGAATGGCCTCGTTGACTAATGAGAGGTAATTCTTGTAAGTCATTGCCGAATTGAGTCGTGAAAGAACTTCATAAACTCATAATTGCTTTAAGAAAAGGTGCTGTAGTGATATTTATTCAAAAGCTGTTCGAATTGGATCTAGAGCATGAGTAACTTGATTGAAACATTATTTTATTCTTAAAAGTGCACAGTTTCAACCTTCCTAGCTATAGCCGTGCTGGAACTTTGAATGCATGGAAATACCCTTTGTCTTCATCTCCATGACATTTGTAAGCCGAAGGCGTTTCACATGAAGGTCTCCTAACCGCCGGCGGTCGGCGCCACGTTTGCTGGCGTTTCTGGCATCATAGAGAGAGAGAGCTGGACAGCAAATGTCTGATACAACTCGCAACCGTGGCACTAGCGTCTAGCAAAGCCTCCATATGGGCCTACGCGGACTCAAATGTCACATTAGAAGAGTATAGGCGAGTTATCGAAAAGTGGACGTATCCTCCAATAATTTGTGGCTTAATATGCGTATTGCATACTATGCACGTTACTTGACGACCTTGTAAGATCAGAATCTGCCGCTGCCAACGGTTTCTCTTCGTTTCCTTGCCTGTTTTGGTCTGATCTTATATATAAAGCTGAATGTCTGTGTCTGTCTGTCTGTCTGTATGTCTGTATGTCTGTACGTATGTTCCGAATAGAAAATTCCATTTCTGAACCGATCCGGACCAAACTTGGCACACATACACTACGGGCCCCGGCGGGTGTCATAGGCTACTTTTCGTCATCGATCGATATCGATTTTATCGATTTTTATCGATTTTTTTGCTGAGTTCACCCACGGGGCTGGGAGTTGGCACAGGGGGGGGGAAGTGAGCATGGGGATTCCGAATACAATATTGGTTTTCAGGATTATCGATTACTTTTATCGATTTTATCGATTTTTTTGCAAAGTTTGAGCTACGGGGCTGGGAGTTGGCACAGGGGGGGGGGAAGTGAGCATGGGGATTCCGAATACAATATTGGTTTTCAGGATTATCGATTACTTTTATCGATTTTATCGATTTTTTTGCAAAGTTTGAGCTACGGGGCAGGGAGTTTGCACAGGGGGGTAATCGAGCATGCAGATTCGGAATACAATATTGGTTTTCAGGATTATCGATTACTTTTATCGATTTTATCGATTTTTTGCAAAGTTTGAGCTAGGGGGCTGGTAGTTGGCACAGGGGGTAATCGAGCATGCTGATCATCCCCAAGGGGGGTGATCAGCATGCCCGATTACACCCCTGTGCCAAATTCCAGCCCCCTAGCCCAAATTTTCAAAAAATCGATAAAATCGATAAAAGTAATGGACGATCTTGAAAACTAATATTGTATTCGTAATCTGCATGCTCGATTACCTCCTGTGCAAACCCCCAGCCCCGCAGGTCAAACTTTACAAAAAAAATCGATAAAATCGATAAAAGTAATGGACGATCCTGAAAACTAATATTGTATTCGGAATCCCCATGCTCACTTCCCCCCCCCCCCTGTGCCAACTCCTAGCCCTGTAGGTGAACTCTGCAAAAAAATCGGTAAAAATCGGTAAAATCGACATCGATCGATAACGAAAAGTGGACTGTGACACCCGCCGGGGCCCGAAGTGTATGTGTGCCAAGTTTGGTCTGGATACGGCGGAGCCGGGTAAGCCAGCTAGTCGGATATAAATTAGTTACTAGGACAACTTCTACAGTTTGTTACGCTTTAAGAGGTTTTACTGAAAAGTTACTGAAAAGTACCGCCGGCCGTCGCACGTTGTATGCAGACTCACATACCAAGCTACAAATGATTCTACGGTAGTTTTCTGACTGAAGTTTGGATGAAGGCTATAACAGATGATAAAAAGCAAGAGTGCATGATTAGGAAGGCGTCGACAGAGTTGCAAATCGACCTCTTTCCGTTGCAATGACTCTTACACATGTGCCTCGCCTCTGCTTACATAAGTCTGATGTGTATATTTGAATTCAAAGGAAGTGTTTAGACGTACATTCAAGTTCACGAACTTTTGGCGCTCCAACTTTACGACTCAAGCGTAGAACACGTAAAATTCCTTGCTGAACTTTTCTGCTTTCCTGAAAAGGACATAAGTGCTTAAAACCCTCAACTGCTATTTGATATATTCTATGGCAGTAATTTGAACCAAATTATCATTTGTTCTCCATGGCTCCCACGTCTTTGTGGTTCCAAAAAAAATTTATTTGAAGACTAAGGATTTTTTCAAATATATTTTGTTCAAGGAATCTCGTTCATACGGTTTGAGTAGAACCAAACTCTTTATTGCCCTAATCTAATAGTTCATAGTTTCGGCGTTAGCGCAGGGCAGATATAAAATCAGCTTTCGTATCATAAATAGCTCTGACTTTTCTCTTGTAGTGAAAATACTTTGCAAGGGTTTAAGAAGTACTAAAATAATTTCAGAAATTTTTAGTGATGTTGGTACGCTTAAAAGATGTGGCTGGCAAAACTGAACGTTACGGAATTTTGATATTGTAGTTTGCTTATACCCTGAATATGAAAGAAGCTAGTCTGAGCGCACAGCATTTTGCTCCTGCCAAGAAACTGCTTCCAATGCCGTGCGCGAAGCCATTTTCACGTACGGGGAACGAGCTCCGATTTCCCTTCCACCGTAGTAGGTGGAATGCCATAATGTTATAACTATAAAGCTCCGCAACGGCTCAGCATCTCCGATCGTAGCAAACTGTTTCGTTCGTCTAAATTATGAAGGACCTTGGAGAATACTGGTACTTGCCATGTGTGCTTTGTGAGGTAAATGTTCGGGATCAGCGCGAGTCGGACTATCCAAGGTAAGCAGGAAAAATTAGGTTGAGAATATGCCGAGCAAAATCCAGCGCCAGGCGGTTCTTTTCCATGAAGGGCGCATCAATTGAGGAACACCCTGTGGCATCAGTGGGGTTATCTGATTCACAGAAACGCTGACCCTGCGGAAGCGGAAGAGACTATCAAAAACTGGCTCCCATGGGGTGCGCAAGAAGGCAACATACTTGAGCGAATGTAAGTACCGACTCGTACTAACGAGGGAAGGATGCTTGATCGCACTGACGATTGGGTAAGCGGTGTATACCGCGTATACAGTCCCCAGACGGTGATCTCTAAACGCAATCCATATCTGCTATGACGTCATTCTGGAGGAATTATAAAGGATTTTGGTGCAGTGGATAGTGGCTTGGACTGCGGACCTGGACGTCGTGGGTTCGATTCCTCTGGGATACCAACCGTTTTGCACTTTTGTGAAATTGAATAGGCAAGTTGTAACCTGTCTACGTTCAAAAAAAAGTTGATTTTTGCAATTTGAAGCAATATTTTTGCGTTTATTGGCACAGAAACACCGTTTAGCCTAAAAAACACTCGTTTTTAACCTTTTTCATTGAAAATTTTACTCAATTTTACATTGAAAGGGCTTCATGAAGTGCAAACAAAAAACACATTCACAGTGTGCACAACGTTTCCTTCCTTGAGGGCGATCGTGTAAGGTCTCACGAGCCAAACTCTTCGAGTAAGTAAGAGATGACCAGTTGTGGACAGAACATTGCAGTTGATTAACACACTGTGCATCAAAAAACCGATAAAGACGCCATTTTTGACAGGTTAGCTGCTCCTCTCTATGTTAAGCGCGAATTCGGAATTTTTCGCAAAATTGAGTAAAGTTTTTAATGAAAAAGGCTAAAAACGAGTGTTTTTTAGGTTAGACGGTGTTTCAGTACTAATAAATGCAAATATATTGCTTCAAATTGTAAAAATCAACTTTTTTAAATGTAGACAGGTTTTGCAATCTGCCTGCTAAGATTTACAAAAATGCAAAACGAGTGGCCTCCCAGAGGAATCGAATTAACGACGTCCAGCTCTGCAGTCCAAGCCCACTATCCACTGCACCAAAAATCATGACTTATAATAAGCGGCTTAATCTGAAGTTGTGTGGAGTTTGTCCGTTACGAAATTACAGTGAGGAATGATTTACGATACTAAACATCATGTGAGGTTAAGATAGCGAGTATGGTTCATTTTTAACTACGGCTCACTTTGCAATAAACCGAACAATGATTTGAGAGACAAGCTCTCAGAAAGTGAGTTTACCACGGTTTACGATGCCAGTGCGAACCTCTGCGAAGCAGAGGTGAAGCACTGGTCCTTTATAACTCCTCCAGAATGACGTCGTAGCAGATATGGATTGCGGTTTAGAGAACACTGTCTGGGACGGTATACGCGGTATACACCGCTTACCCAATCGTCAGTGCGATTAAGTATCCTTCCCTTGTAAGAAGAACAACCTGGAACAATCGATGAAAACTTACAGTGTCGTCAAAATTCAGTATTTGACTGATGCCCAAAACAGTAGTGCCAAGTTGAAAACGAATTGTATACACGCTTCTGCTTTCCATTTTCAAACTCTGCCAAACCTTGAAAAGTTGCAATCTCAAAAGCAGAAAAATAGCCGCTGCTCAGGTTCGACTTTAAAGCTTTGCTCACCGTCCTACGAGACTGGGGGTACCTGGCTCTGGTAGTAATGCGACAGTAGACCCCCTAACTAAGCGAACAGAAGTTTGCAGCGCGAAAGGGGGTCTACGAAGTCTACAAATCGCCCTTCAAGTGGCACGATTCTTACGGTAGGCTGGGACGAGTGCGGGATGCATGCAAGGTAGAGACGCAGAGTCGGTGCGGGACCCTGCGCTCATGACTGTGTGCTATATGCACTCTGCCCTTGCGAATCGATATTGCTGTGTAGGCGGCGTCCGGGCCTGCCGTAAGATTCGGGCCAATTTCGGAGCAAATTTCAGGCTTGGTAGACCCCCTCCTCCGCTCCGAACCTCAGTCAGCGCTTAGGTAGGGGATCTACTTTAACATCGCCACAAAAATCCCGCACACATCTTTTTGCCGGGCGCTGCCTTTGATAGTCGAATCCGTAAATTTTTGAGTAGAAGACATTGAGTCGCAGAAAGAGGAGTTCCCGCGCATATTTGCAAAAAACCATGCGCCTCCATCACTTGACTCACGTTAACGGTCGGCGTGGTGGAGCCTATCGGTGACTTAATGTCCTGCAACCTAGATTTTTGACTTTCTAAGCAAACTGACAATCTCTGGCACGAGCAGCTTGGAGATTAGAGTCAAACGCTTAGAGGGTTGGGACCATGGACCGCTGACTCTGCACGATTAGCAGCCTTCGTGTTCGACTAGCAGCCTGCCCTTGCAGACACTTTCAGGTTTACCCCAGCCACCGCGGAAATTCGAGTCGAAAATCTACGAGGTGCTGCGTGGTACACATTTGATTAACAAGTTGACGACCGAGGCATTTTTGACCACATCAAAATGGACTGATGATTTACGGCTGCGGTTTAGACTGTTTAAAAGCTACCGCAATGCACTGTGTTCTATATGACAACCAGACCACCAGTGTTATCACTGCATAGAAGTTACCTGAGAGTTTTTCGTTTACACATACAAATTGATGCACGAAAGTGCTAAAAGGTGGTCAGGGCGTGCATACGCGCGGATGCACACAGTCGTCAACGTGTTAAAAACCATGTAATTCTCCTAGCGCTTCTATAAAATAACCATAACCTCAAATCAATATGCCTAATTAGCTCACATTTCTACGATCTTCACTTCCTTGCACTTCTACAGCTTGTAGCAAAAGCAAATGATTGGGATTGTAGCGATTTCCATACAAGATAATTTTTACCTACAACGCTTAACATAAATGAGTATTTTCAGAAAAAAAACTTACAGGGAGGGGATTGCAGTCGGTAAGTATGCCAGAACTTGGCTGGACAATGTAGCGAGTGGGCGCATTTGTCTAGAATAGTGGAAGTTACTCACGCGACTTGTAAATGGTACATTCACTGCACTTAATTACGTTACTTCTAAACCACGTTATTGCTGTCCAAATTTAACATCTGAAACAATGGAAGCCGCAGAAATCTAGCAAGCACATTGCGACCTGACTACATTAGCTCATCTGACATGTTGCTACGATTAAAAAGGTCCCTCCACAATTTTAAGCAAATTCAAGCCTTCTTGGAGATGTGATTTTCAAGGCCTCAGACATGACTGGGGGGGGGGGTTCTCCCAAATCAGGTCAGTCAGGTCGTTCCGAAAGTGTTTTCGCTTTCTTCAAACGAGCGCCACATCCCGCAGGCCAAAGATTCTCGGAAGACCTTGAATGCATTCGACAAAATTTTTTATCGTCTTTCAAATGACTATAATTATAATGTAGTTTAACCGAAGAAAATTTCTTCAAAAACTGAAGACTGAGACCTATGAATTTTACCATGATCAATTTTTTTTGAATTTTCAATTTTTTGCACCGACTCCTTGAAAAAGTCCAAGTAAGTTGTAGGTAAAACAACCATCGTAGAATACAAAACAATATATCTTTCCTTTTGGTCATAATTCTGTTGGGATTTCTACAAAAATCATCATATTTTGGTAGGTCTCAGGTAGAAACGCATCCAACACTAAGAAACTTTCGGGGAAACTCTCAAAAAAGGATTTATCAGATGTTTTTCACAAGTCAAATGAGCTTTTCGAATTATCAAATTAGTCAGTTTCCTAGTAAAGCGGCCTGGGGCGCGTTGGAAAAAAATGAATTATGATGATTTCGTCCGCGAAGACATACGAGTCAGAAACAAAAGAACAGCAATTAAAAAGAAAAGAAAAAGCTGCATTGAGTTAATCAATGGAAATTATTTTCGTCAAATAAGATTCTATTGGAAAATTATTATGGATAGAGAGGATGGTTTTGTATCATGTGTGGTTGCTCTATCCATCCGTTATTGAAACTCTTTAAGTGGTCTATACAAAGAATTAGAGAAATAGCGAAAATAGATCATGGCAAAAACTAAGAAAGGCACAATCTTGCATGCACCCGCACAAACGAACTTTGGTAATCAAACTGTGAACTTTCATGAAAGAAACGTGAAAATATCATTACTTATAATAACGGGCTAAGGGTGTTTACGTGACTTTGTGTGTGTGTGTGTGTGTGTGTGTGTGTGTGTGTGTATGTGTGTGTGTGTGTGTGTGTGTGTGTGTGTGTGTGTGTGTGTGTGTGTGTGTGTGTGTGTGTGTGTGTGTGTGTGTGTGTGTGTGTGTGTGTGTGTGTGTGTGTGTGTGTGTGTGTGTGTGTGTGTGTGTGTGTGTGTGTGTGTGTGTGTGTGTGTGTGTGTGTGTGTGTGTGTGTGTGTGTGTGTGTGTGTGTGTGTGTGTGTGTGTGTGTGTGTGTGTGTGTGTGTGTGTGTGTCTGTTACGAAATTCGTGGAGCGTGTTCCAGCAAACGTCCTGAGCCCAAATTTTGCACAGCACATGCTCCAGCACAAAAACTCCACCATGCAAAAGCATGAGCGGATTCGTTGCGTAGTACTCACAGAAATTGTGCGTCAAATGGGTCCACTTCGCTTGACCCACAAAAGTGGGTCCCTATCAGCACTTTTTGCGAAGTCGTTGAGGTGTTTGAAGTAAATGTGCAAGCCTTGGACTCTAGCCCAAATAATGGGCAAAAACCTACTACTTTGCGAAAATGGCGCCAAAATGATTGATTGCGTAAATGGATGGACTGCGAGGATTTTTTTTCATTTATCCTCTCTGTCTTAATTGTATCACTCCTTCTCTTTCCTTGCGCACTCCTTTGCTGCTGTGAGTAGTTTTTTGCGACTCGCTGTTTTTCGTTTGCGCATATTGATTTGACATTCATCGATTTTTCTGCGCTTCATCGGCTAACTCTATTGATAAGGTAGATCAAACCGATAACCATGGCATCAAAGAGTGAGCGTGCTAGGCAAAGTAATGTGGGCACTCAGCCAAGCCTGAGGAATGTAGATGCGAGCAGTCAAACCTGCGAGCAGGATGTCTCGGGCTTAACTGTCGAGGACCTAATCAGCACTATCTCAGACAATCGCTGGGGGCAGGCGGTCCGCAAACTCGCGCTTTTCTGCAGGCGGTCAGCAGAAAATTGGGGCGTGGCCAAATCTCCAGCAGGCGAAACTTCTTTTGCTGTCGCATATTCTGCAGCGGGCAGCAATACAGCATATTGCGCAAGCGCTCGGCAACTAACTTCTTTAAGCGAGCGCTGGCCAAACTTTCAGCGAGCGCTTGAACTCTTTTAACGCAGTTTCGGGAGTACGCCCAGCAAAGGTAAGACTATATGTAACAGAGGTGTCATCATCGGTTTAATTACTCAAGTTTGGGGTACTTTCCCTCAGCGGAAAGTATTTACGGGCTGTCCTTCACAAGGGACCGTGCGGCCGTCAATAAGTTTGCATATTCTCGCGGAAACTCCGCGAGAATGCGGCCACTGCGCTGCAACTAATTCCTAGAAAAACCGCGATTGTTCTCCAAGCATTCGTCTAAAAACTGACCAACATTCTTCCATTCTGCAAGCGGACCGCAAGAAATCAACGAACCATTTTTCCGGTGTCCGCTTGCCCAAAAATCGCATGGCGGCCTGCCCCCGGATTATCTGAGTATTAGGGAAAGGACCAATGATCCAGTCATAGATAGAGTATTGCCTGCTTTGAGCGAAAAAATATCGAAGATCGCTTCGGTTAACTATGAAAAGCGCGCTCTTAGTGTAGTTCTGAGTGGTATTCCTGAGGCAAACAGCAGTCAGCACTTTCATGAACGGTGCTCTCAACTTGATAGCGCTGTTGGTGAGGTGCTTGACGTGTTAAAAGTGGACTGTCGCCTAGTGGAGCTATTCCGCATGGGGAAGCCAAATCCTTCGCGACCCCGCTTGGTGCAAGTGGTATTTCCCCTCTAGGTATTATTGGCAGGTGGCACTTTCCAATGCCCGGTTATTGAGGAGTCATGGCTTCCCTCGTGTTTTCGTGGGGAGAAGCATGACAGCAGAGGAAAGAAGCTGCGACTATGAGCTGAGGAAGCTCATAGTCGCGGCTCGGGAGCGGAATAAAGGAAAGGATGTGAAAGTGTGGGTTATTTACCTTGAGTTGGTTCATACTTCCCAACTTCCTCGTAGAAGTTCGGGAAACGTATGAATGCGCACAGTAATACTGACTCACTAAAGATTTATTTACTTAATGCCCGAAGTCTTGTTAATCTATATATATATATAAAACTCAAAAATTGTCAGTTTGGAGGGTATGTGCGTTATAGAAATGCGCGCCGCTCAACCAATTCAGCTGAAAATTTGCACACATATGTTTTCGACCCCTGCGCAGATGATAGGCTACTTTTTGCGGCGATTCGTTTGGTCCTTCTATCGATTTATTGATTTGTTTACGTTTTGCTAAGGAATTGAAGGCTTATCATGTTCAGTCAAGCATTTTCCCATAATCTGTAAAGGAGGGCGGTGAAGCTCATTTTAACCTCATTATCACGAGGATGCGGTTTGAAGCGGATGTCCCTAGGGTAAGTCATCCATAACATATAAGGGGGGGGGGCTTGCAGTGCAAGTGAACGGAACAAGGCCCGGGCTGGACCGGGAAAGCCCACTAGTAAATTAGAAATCTCCCCACTTTCGAAAATGACCTTGGTGCTCGATTTTCCGTGTTGAAGAGAAAGCGAAAGTTCTTGGAGCTTATTTTGCTAGCGTCTACGCTTCTACGACAGTAGTGCACCTGCAGTTGGCAATACTCATGATGTGCAAGGGAAATTGTCCTCAGTCTTTTTGAATCGCATAAAGTGTGCCGTATTTTGAAACACTTCAAAAACTTCGCTACTGAAACATATGACGGCATACCTCAGATCGTATACAAGAAGTGTTTCTCATCTCTGTCTACACCATTGGCACATATATTTAACATACCCATGTTATTAATAGAGGTGCCCGCACTTTGGAAGCACGCCCTTGTAACACTTATCCCTAAGGTCCAGGGCGCTAAGCGGAGAGGGATTTTCGCCTTATTGATCTGCTACCTACACCTGCCAAAGTTATGGAAAAGTGTATAAGAGACAAGCTTGTGTCCTGACTTGATAAAGCTGGCATAGTCCCTGCTGAGCAGCATAGTTTCATCAATGGTGCCTCGACACCAAATTTCGTTGACAGTATCTATGACTGGGCTCTTGCCTTGAATAGTAAAAAAATGTGTGGATGTGCTTTATATTGATTTATCTAAAGCATTTTAGGGTCTGTTATGATATGCTAGTGAAGAACCTCAAAATGATAGGCATTGATGACCCGATGCTCGCATGGTTTGTTTCGTATTTGCACAACCGTTATATGACTGTAAGAGTTCATGACCGATTTTTGGATACCTATTCTTGTGCAAGTGGTGTTCCTCAGAGAGGAGTTTTATCGCCTGTATCATTCCTCATTTATACGAATTGCCTAATTTCTCCATACTTCTCGAAAGATTAAAGTGCAATGTATGCAGATGATAAAAAAATTTACGGAATGTACGATGCAGAAGATCGAATTGAGGTTCAATCAGCTTTACAATTGTCTCGTTCCAATCTGGCTAATTGGGCAACGACTTGGAATCTAACACTAAATCTTGAGAAAAGCTGCGTACTGCATATAGGAAATGGTTGTGCAGGCTCTTATGTGGTTGAGGACCTTGCGTTGAGGTCAAGCGGCTCACTAGGGACTTAGAAGTGCTTGTTGACGTTAAACTAAAGTTTTTTGAACATATCGATGTTGCTGTCAGAAAGGCTTACACCTCCTAATTTGTGTTTCTGCGAACCGTAAGGAGTGACTCGCTTGCTCTAATGACACGTTTTTACAAAGCCTTCATTCGCCCCCATCTAGAATACTGCTCCCAAGTTTGGAACCCTGCTCGGAAAAAAGATATATTCAAAACAGAAAAAGTGCAAAAAACCTTCACGGGTCTCTTGTACAGG